GGCCGGTCAAGGACAGTAGTGGGAAGTTGTGCGTGGAGTCCGAAGAGATAGGAGAGGTGCTAAATGAATATTTTTCGTCAGTATTCATGCAGGAAAAAGACAATGTAGTCGAGGAGAATACTGAGATACAGTCTATTAGACTAGACGGGATTGAGGTTCATAAGGAGGAGGTGTTAGCAATTCTGGAAGGTGTGAAAATAGATAAGTCCCCTGGGCCGGATGGGATTTATCCTAGGATTCTCTGGGAAGCTAGAGAGGAGATTGCAGAGCCTTTGGCTTTGATCTTTATGTCGTCATTGTCTTCAGGAATAGTGCCAGAAGACTGGAGACTAGCAAATGTTGTCCCCTTGTTCAAGAAGGGGAGTAGAGACAACCCTGGTAATTATAGACCAGTGAGCCTTACTTCGGTTGTGGGTAAAGTGTTGGAAAGGATTATAAGAGACAGGATTTATAATCATCTAGAAAGGAATAATTTGACTAGGGATAGTCAACACGGTTTTGTGAAGGGTAGGTCTTGCCTCACAAACCTTATTGAGTTCTTCGAGAAGGTGACCAAACAAGTGGATGAGGTTAAAGCGGTTGATGTGGTGTATTTGGATTTCAGTAAAGCGTTTGATAAGGTTCCCCATGGTAGGCTATTGCAGAAAATACGGAGGCATGGGATTGAGGGTGATTTAGCGGTTTGGATCAGAAATTGGCTAGCTGTAAGAAGACAGCGGGTGGTGGTTGATGGGAAATGTTCATCCTGGAGTTCAGTTACTAGTGGTGTACCTCAAGGATCTGTTTTGGGGCCACTGCTGTTTGTCATTTTTATAAATGATCTGGATGAGGGCGTAGAAGGATGGGTTAGTAAATTTGCGGATGACACCAAAGTTGGTGGAGTTGTGGATAGTGCGGAAGGATGTTGCAGGTTACAGAGGGACATAGATAAGCTGCAGAGCTGGGCTGAGAGGTGGCAAATGGAGTTTAATGCGGAAAAGTGTGAGGTGATTCACTTTGGAAGGAGTAACAGGAATACAGAGTACTGGGCTAATGGTAAGATTCTTGGTAGTGTGGATGAGCAGAAAGATCTCGGTGTCCATGTGCATAGATCACTGAAAGTTGCCACCCAGGTTGATCGCGTTGTTAAGAAGGCGTACAGTATGCTAGGTTTTATTGGTAGAGGGATTGAGTTTCGGAGCCATGAGGTCATGTTGCAGTTGTACAAAACTCTGGTGCGGCCGCACTTGGAGTATTGCGTACAGTTCTGGTCACCGCATTATAGGAAGGATGTGGAAGCATTGGAAAGGGTGCAGAGGAGATTTACCAGGATGTTGCCTGGTATGGAGGGAAGGTCTTACGAGGAAAGGCTGAGGGTCTTGAGGCTGTTTTCGTTAGAGAGAAGAAGGTTAAGAGGTGACTTGATAGAGACATACAAGATGATCAGAGGATTAGATAGGGTGGACAGTGGGAGCCTTTATCCTCGGATGGCGATGGCTAGCACGAGGGGACATACCTTTAAATTGAGAGGTGATAGATATAGGACAGATGTCAGAGGTAGGTTCTTTACTCAGAGAGTAGTAAGGGCGTGGAATGCCCTGCCTGCAAAAATAGTAGGCTCGCCCACTTTAAGGGCATTTAAATGGTCATTGGATAAACATATGGATGATAATGGAATAGTTTAGGTTAGATGGGCTTCAGATTGGTTTCACAGGTTCACGCAACATCGAGGGCCGAAGGGCCTGTACTGCGCTGTAATGTTCTATGTTCTATGTTCTACGTTCTATGGGAGGGTCTAGGACCAGAGGCAGAGTCTCGGAATAAAGGAGCACCAATTTAAGACTGAAATGAGAAGGAATTTCTTCTCTTAGACAGTTGTCAGTCTTTTGAACTCCTTGCCACAGAAGGCTATGGAGGCAGAGTTCTTTTATATATTTGAGGCTGGGATAGATAGATTCTTGATCAGTCAGGGAATAAAGGATTTTGGGGGAAATACAGGAACATGGATATGCAGAATATCGGATCAGCCATTATTCTATTGAATGGTGGAGCAGGCTCAAGGGGTTGAATAGCCTACTCTTGTTCCTATTTCTTATGGTCTTATCTTTTTTTAAGTCTCCTTCCTTTTTCTAAAAAAAGAATTCAGCCACAAAATGCATTGCAGCAACTCATTGAGGCTCCTTCAACAGCACTTCCAAACCTATGACCTCTACCATCTATAACGTTGAACTCCATAAGCTTATTTACCCTACATCAATTTGCTCATGGCTCAGATAGTGATCAAAAGATGATCAACTTTGATGTTTTGCTTTCTAAATAGCCACAATTTGTTCATACACCCTCAGCAGCACTGCTTATGTTGTTGATACCTACATAGACCATGGACATATTCTACCATTGCAAATTCCTCCCCAGGCCAAAGTAGATGGCTAGCACAGAGTACGAAACAAAGCCATCTGGAATCTTGCTCTTAGCTACAGACAACGGTGTCTATACCACTGAATATACTGTCTATCACTGTCAGTACATTCCTATCAATTCCCCAACTTGAATGGCTTCTTTCAATATGATGCCATGGTCAATTCGCTCATCCATCCTACAGTCACCGCTTTCATCCATACAGGCTACAGGGACCTCAAACCATTCGGCCAATTGCAATGACAGAGGCTCCTCCCTTTCTACCTTTTGTGTCTCCTCATCTGCCTCTCTTGCAGTCACATCCGCCTGTACCAGACCTCTGGCCAAATCAGAAGAACCTAGACAAAAAGAGGTGTGACTGCCTTATGATACAAAGAATGCAGGTAACTTTCCACTTCTCTGACGCTTCGCTATGTTTGTGGTTCAGTTTCCAGTTTGTAAACTCTGAGCTAAAGCTCCTTGCAACCCAAGCACTTACTGTAGACTTGTTTGCCCTGGATGACACTGGGCATCCAGGCATTCTACATACTATAGTCACCAAACATCACTGGCCCCGACCATCTTTGTTGTTTCATAATTAAATAATAATTTTTTTCTTAATTAATTAATACATAAAATTAAACCTCTTTTCACTATCACTTACTATACTAATTCAAATCTTAGATATTCAACACTTCTTACCACTTATGACTCACATAAATAATAGAATGACTGGTTTTTTACTTCAGGTCTGCAACTATTTCTTAATTCATTACAAATTAGGTAATTAAGCATGGTTTAAAATATTTCTGCATTTTTATAAATTCCAGCACTTTAGACACATTCCCTAATAGTAATTACTCACCTACCAATCAACTATGGTTTTCCAGTGGTGCCATTGTTTGGTTTTACTGTTCAAACTCAGTACATGATCAGGTTCGCCTCATTCTGAAACTGCTTCTGCCACTTCTCCCACTGATTTAACTGGATGTGCCCACATCTCTTTGCGCTGTTTCCCATTCTGAAATGACTCACCTTTCTCCCACTAATTTAACTGGCTGTGCCCACATCTTCTTGCGCTGTTTCCCAGTCTGAAATTACTCACCCTTCTCCCATTGTTTTAACTGGCTTGGGTCAACCTCTCTACAAGCTGTTGCTCACCCTGTATTGAGTTTTGGGCACTACTCAATAGAATGTCTGTTTTGGCCATGGAGGAAATATAGTGTAGACTTGCTGGCATGAGTTTAACTGCGAAGAGAGATTACAAAAAAAAAATGAAGGTGCGGTGCTTAAAAGTTTAGAATATAAGGGGTGATTTGCTTACAGCTTTCAAGAGAGTGAGTGGAACTGATGGGTGGGTAGAGAGAGAAAATCTATTGCTGCTATTTGGGAAAATCTACCATGTGGGAACACAGGTTAAAAATTTACATCAGCCCTTTCAGGAATGAAGTTAGGAAAGAATGTTAGAAGTTTGACTCTATGTTGATGCCAACTTGAATTCTTTGATTGGCAGATTACTGAGAGGCAGAGCTATGGGGCAAACGCAGAATCACAGCACAAATCAGTAAAAATCTCAACACACAGTGAACAGGTTTGAGGGACTGTATGGGTGTTCCTACAGAAGTTCAGAGTGAAATTCATTTTCTTCCCTGAGCCACTTCCAATGCATCAATGACTTTTGGACCAAAAGTAGAGTTAACACAGAGAAAAAGAACTGAAGATCAGTCATATCGGACTCAAAACGTTAACTCAGTTTCTCTCTTCACAGATGCCGTCAGACCTGCTGAGATTCTCTAGCATTCTCTGTGTTTACTTCAGATTTCCAGCATCTGTAATATTTAGCTTTTATCACTTTTGTATGGCAAAACCAGAGAAAACCAAAATTTTGCTTCACCAGCAGGACCACATACTCATTCTAGGGGTCTCTGTTAAAGTAAACTGCCACCTACTGGATAGATTCTGAGAGGTGCACAGAACACTAAGCAGGAACTCAAAACACAAATGAATGAACGGGGTGGGATGAGCTGAAATGTTTGGGGGGAGCGCAGTGGGTAAAGCTGTTAATCTGACTGTGCCTGGATCCCACGGTCCCAGTGGCTGGAGGACAAGGATGAAGGTGTATTCCGGAAAGTACCCAACACATGGGCAAGCTGATACCACTCTGTCACTCTGCACATGGTTGAATCTTTAATCTTTAGGCACATTTGTTTAAATGTTTGGAGAGTTGGGAGCAGGGGTCGATCAGGGACTGTGGGATCAGGGATGGGGAGGACAGCATTGGTCCCTGATTATTTGCTTTTGTTGCCCAATGCCCCATGATGGTGACCCCGGTGACAGAAATCTGTGCAAGGAAAGAGATCACTTTACAAACACACTAAAGGTATTCCCAAGCTTTCCATGAGCTTTATTGGTGATTGTTTCAAACTTGGATGAAACCTTGAGTTGGGCACCGACTTAAACCATTGCCTCCTCCATTTTGCCAATGGCCAATCTTTATGTACACCATTTCCTGGGCACCGAGACTGAGGCAATACCTATCTGCATTAATACTCACTGGCTCCATCACTCACAAGGTTTAGTATCACAGAGGATCTTGCAAGTAAAGCTTATAAATCTGTGCCTACCTGCCTGATGGGACTTCGTGAGATGGCTTAACACTCCCGCTGCGGTCTCTCCTGACAGGCCCAGGCTCCATGGTGGGCAGGCCAGTAGCGGAAGTTGTAGTTGTCCATGTAGATGAAATCCTTCTCAATAGTCCTGGAGGAAGACTTCTCCTCAGTCGCTGAAGGGAGTAGAAGGATTGGGCTCAACAGAAATCAGCAGGACTTCAAAACATCGTGTGTGATCAATACAGTCTTGAGTTAATCCAGTTCATGGAGAGGTGGTGGTGTCATGCTAATGTTACTGGACTCGCCAACCAGAGAGCTGGACTAATGTTCTGGGGATATGGGTTCAAATTCTATGGCAGATGGTGAAATTCAGATTCAATACAAAGCCAGCCTAATGGCGATCATTGTCAATCATGATAAAAACCCATTCACTAATGTCTTTCAGGAAAGAGAATCCACTGTCTCTTACCTGGTCTAGCCTACATATGATTTCAAGCCCATAGCAATGTGTTTGACTCTTAACTGCCTTTGGAATGTTTTGGCAAAACACTTTGTTCAAGGGCAACTAGGGATGGGCAATAAATGCTGGCTGTGCTAACAATGCCCATATCACATGCACAAATTTTAAAAGAGAAGACCTTAAAGTAGAAATATTGAAGAACAATATGTCAGGCAATAATAATTATCGTTTGATGATTCTTTCAGAAAAATAGTTCTCTTTAAATAAATGCGTCTCTAACTGCTTGAAACAAAATAACAGTCATAAATCAAATATCACGAAAGCTGATTATTTTCATTCAACCTTAAAGCATAATAAATAAAGAAAAATGCAGCAATTTTGTAAATAGAATAAACAGCTGAATAAATCAAATTATATTGAAAGGTTCTTCAGTTTAACCAGGACTGTGATAAAGGGATTTTCATGTATTCATTAAATTTCCTATTATAAATCCACACATCTATCTGTCTGATTGTTTGATAACCGGCAATCTGGTTGAAGTCAATTGTTTTGAACAGAACTTTAATCAGACAAAATGGCTGACCTAAAAACAAAGTGGGAAATCTGTCTGAAGAAACTAAGATTCCATATGGTTAATTATCTCAAAGGAGCAAGTCAGTGAATTCCAATGACTTTGTTATATCTACTGACTTTTGCTGGTTCAGATCCATAAAACATTCACCCAAAAATACTGACGCACCAGTTATCTCTCTTGTGTGTGCAATCAATTGGACATGTAGCAAATTACAACATCTGCAATGCAACTTGTATAGATTCATATCGTTTAAAAACAATGATGTGCATACCAACTAATATCTCTGGTATCCTTTCAGTCCTCCGCTTGCAAAGTTCTATCCCAATCTCCCATCATAATCAAGAATTTAGATAGAATTTCCCACATTTTTTTCTAAGTGTGGAGGTGAGGGTGTTAGGTGGTAACTAACAGACCAGCCGACATTGGCTAGATGATTCACCCAATTGTCTGTCAGTCAGCTCGCTAAATGCGCTATCACAGACCTCGAAACTGGTGAACTGGGATACCAGAATCTGTTGGCCTATCAGTGAAGCTAGTGAGATGCACCCACAGCGGAATTTTCTTTGGTGGAATCTGGTGGAACAGGACCCTTCAGAACCCACAAGCAAGGTCTGGACTTCTGTTGTCCCTGGCACCCTGTCGTCCCTGGCTGTAAGGCCCAAATCAGGCCCCCTAACATGGTGCCAGCAGCCAGCAGATCTTCATCGCCTCCCACTGTCCAGCTCCAGAAATGGATGAGCTGTTCATTGACAGAACTCAAGGTCTAGAAAATTCTGACTCTTGACTCATAATCCCCTCATGGGATTGGCATCACTGCCGTTGAGCTATATCATAATTTTTCAATTTCCACATTATTACTGCTTTAAGCCTTCCACGTACGGGTCAAAAATGGATTTGTTAGACTGTAGAAGGAGAAACACAAGCACAAGCACATGGTGATTGTTGCGAACTAGCGACTGACATATTGTAAATGGAAGTTAACATCGCTTGGTGTACCTTTGGGATTGCGAGCTTCTCTCCCGGGCATTCTTCGGAGTCAGAACCAGCGTAGGACTCGCTGAATGACACTAATGGATTTATTCTGGGCTTGTGGATGGGCTGGAAGGTCAGTTGTGTGCTGAGGAGGTTGCTGACAGCCCTCAAGGAGGTACTGACATTGGGAGGCAGAGAAGGATCAGCCAGAAGGTCTGTAATTAGTCCATGGGCCTCACCCATCACAGCGATATCAACAGTGACACTGGTGCCTGTAGACTGAAAGAAAAATGAGGACCGTAAATACATCACTACACTAATAGTAGCCTAACAAGTTCTACCAAACTTTTACTAACCTTTCTTTCAATGAAATGCATAAACACTGTTTTTAATTCAGATGAATTTCCTATATCCAGTACATTACAAACTGCCTGTTTAATCTTCATTTAAATGAGTTAACTAATTCCACAATATGGAGTTAGGATGTTGCTTTCTCTCGATGATCCAGATGTTAACCAAGACGAATGATGATGAACTGTGGTACAATATAACCAGTCAGTTTTATCTCCCTTCAATGAGTTGCCATTTGAACTCAAGCTTAAACTATAGGTTACAACTAATTTCAAACAATACACCATAAATGAATTCATTTAGCTCTATAATTTGATCTCAAATTACATCACAGAATTTTCACTGTGTAGAAGGAGGCCATTTGGCCCATCATATCTGCACCATGTCTATTACCTTCAGCCAATATCCTGTCTTTTCCCCATATCCCTGAACACTATTTCTATTCAAATATTCATCCGATATTCTCTCAAACGCCTCAATCAAACTTCCTTCCACCACAGTAGACTCCAGGCCCCAACAGCTCGCTAAGTGAAAAACGTTTTTTCTCACGCCACTCTTGCTGTGTTTACACATCACTTTAAATCATTTGTCATTCTTATTCATACTTTGGTTCTCCTGAGAACATCTCCCTCTTGATGGTTCATTCTGCCTTCATCATTCGCTTTTCTTAATTCTCCATTCCAAGCTCTATTCAATCTTTCCTTCATTGTGCCAATGGGTCTCTTAATAATCATTGCTACATTATGTAAATTCCTCCAGACACTAGACAGCAATGTCTTTGGAGAAATCATCCCTAAATTATTATAATTTAACCATATGTTATTAGAGAACCCTGCCAACTGCATGAGGAAGAAATTCCTCTTCCAGGCAAATTTCCATAATTTGTGAAATTAATGAAGTCTGACTATCTTTGGCAATCAAGTGGCACATTTAAAAATAGATTTACATTGGGAGGCTAATTATACATTGCTTCTAAAAGCCTCAACAATCCAACACAGCTATTGGTCTTTTTAAAATGGTATCAGCTGTGTCTGAGATATTCGAAAGAAATTCTCACCGACCTATGGTAAAGTTAAGTTGCCGTGTTCCAATATAATGTTGCCTATTGCAACATTTTATAGACCAGACCAAATCCCCTCCAAATATATTAAAGAGATAGCCTAGACCCTAGCTTCTTTTTGTTTTAAAAGTAAATGCCAGTCATTGCTTTCCAGATGCAAATTGATTGGTCGAACGATTAGTCTTGAAGCAAAGCACAATTTATTCATACACTATAGTTAAAATACAACAAGAAAAGAAGAAATTGGAATAAGAACTCTATTGGAAAACTTAAAGTATAATAGATTATTAACTATGAATTAACTGTTCCAGTATAGTAACATCCCATAAACACACCCTTGGCGAGGGCAAATTCAGTAAAATGGATTTTCTCCCATGCAATTTTAGCAGCAATAAAAGAACCCCAGCTTTTAGCTGTGTGAGAAAGAGGAATAAGAGCTTCCACATCCAACTTCAAGACCATGGTAACTGCTACTGAATGCTAAAACTAAAAAAATCCTGGTTCTGTGGGAGCTTGACCACACCCATTCTGGCTGCTTCTATTGTTCCAACTTTCAAAAAAAAAACCAAGGCCGCTTAAGTTGTTTATTGGTTTTGAGCAGACTGCTCTGCAAGTCTCTCAACCTTCCTTCATTAAAAAAAGAAACGACAAAATACACGTCTTCAAGTCACAGAATCGTTTCAACATTAATGGCTCTTTCCACTTTTAGACTGATGAAGAACACAACATGGATTTGTCTGAATCCTTCTTTAACAGAATTTATTAGCTTTAACATTCATATTTGCTTTGGTTTGGTTGTTTGAGCTGAAGAATATTTTACACTGGTCACTTAAGTAGATTCTCAAAGGCAGTCATCTCGGGGCTAGCACTTGAGAGAGGATATTGACCCTAGGACCACCAGTACAAATCAATTGGTATCAGAACTGTCTTCAGTTATCACTCGTTCAGGTACACACTGGCCTCCAGTGCACTTGCAGTTTGTGATGTTTTCATGTCTCATCTGCCCTTGCCCTTCTGGGTGGTGGAGATTGACAATTTGGAAGGAGCAGTCGGAAGAGGGTATACACCAGTGTCAATTGTGGAAACAGTAAATGTTTGAGGTGGTAAATGGAGTGCAAGATAAGCTGCTGCTTCATCCTGGATGGTGTCGAGCTTCTTGAGAGCTGGCAGAGTGGTGTTCACCTTGAAAAATCCAGGACATGCTCCGTTCTGTTTAGGAACCGGAGATATTGTCAAGCTCAAAAACAAAGTTGCTGGAAAAGCTTAGCAGGTCCGGTTGGACCCGAAACGTTAACTTTGATTTGTTTCTTCATAGATGCTGCCAGACCTGCTGAGCTTTTCCAGCAACTTTATTTTTGTTCCTGATTTACAGCATCCGCAGTTCTTTCGGTTTTTATATTGTCAAGCTCAGCTGTCAGTTTTAAAGCAAAATATGACCCATAAACTGTGAGTGCGTTTGCTTTCTCCGGGTCCAAGAGCTAGTTACTTCTATTATTCCACTTTGCCTGCAGAGGAAACAAAGATTTGATTCTGCAAGGTAACTAACAGCATTCTATTTAAGTGGGCAACGCATTGATTTAACTTGTTTTATGCAAAATGTGGAGATTTTACAGTTTGAAGCAGCAAATGGCAGTGCTATAGCTCAATAAATTGCCTTCACATTGAAGCCAAAAATACAGACCACAGAGAAGAAGCTGAGGTTTGTTTCTCTTCCAGTCTGAATACAGCAAAAAGCATTCTTCATTGTGGATACTTTATCCATGTGCCATCCTTCGCAGAACCAATGATGTAGAGGCCTGGTATTTCTGCTGTTCTTAATTGCACCTTGGCTTTAGTATAAATAAACACTATTGAGGATTTAGTCTGTACCAATCATGCCCTAAACCTGAGATTTCCACATTCAAGACAATTGAAGTCTATATATATATAGTGCGCACTGTTCTTGAGAAATGGTCACAAGGAACAATGCTCACTGACAGGGTGGAATGTTATGTAGCTGAGGAGGATCTTGCCCACTCTGTCAAATTAAGTGGCAATGAGGAACTTCAGCCGGAACTGGTCTTCCCTGGGTTCAAAGACCCCTGGGATACAAATTTCACTCTTGCAAGCTACCAGCCAATCACAGTCCAGCAGCTCTACATTGCTGAGCAACGCCACCAGGAAAGGAAGTGGGCGCTGATGGTAATGCACCTAACCGAAGCCCAGGATCATCAAGGATCACGCAGCGGGCAAGTGGATCATGGAGAAGGCGGGGAGGCTTCAGCAAGTTTTTCTCTATCCTAATGCTGGGCGTGCCAATTGGGCATTGAGCACTCAGTGTGGAGGGACTCCCTGAAGCTTGGAGGGCTGCAGGCAACGCTTGCCTTCTGAGCTTCTCATCCACTGAAGTTCCCACTTGCCACTGATGGATACTGGCAGCAGGAAGACAGAATCGTAGAATATAGGAACAAGAGAAGGACATTCAGCCCATCGAGCTGATTGGCCATTCAACATGGCCAAAGTCGATTCTCTATCCTCATGCCATACTCCCATTCTCTCCCGCTACTTCTTGATGCCTTTAGCCTCTAGAAGTCTATTTATTCATTTCTTAAATATTTTCATTGACTTGGCCTCAACAGCCTTCTGTTTTAGAGAATTCCACAGTCCACCAACATCTAGGTAAAGACATTTCTCATCTCAGTCCAACAACATAACCCGAGGCTACATTTCATGGTTCTGGACACTACAATAGAGTGCATTGGTTACCCATTTAACAATGAACAGGAAGGAGTCTTCCCAATGGGAATGAGTCAGGCAATGAGTCTTCCCACTCTTCATTTAATCAGGCGGATGCAAATGAGGGGATTTATCCCAACTACCACACTGTCAACCAATTAAATGCCCATCCCATCACACAGCATCCCTCATCTGAGGGCACTAAGGTCCAGGATGTGTAAACAGCTGTGGAAAGGGACGTAAAGAGAACAATAAGATCCCCGTTCCTAGAAGTGTGAAGCATCATTGAAAGTTATTCATCACGCAATCCTTCAAAGATGGGATTTATTCGGGTACTGGGCACTTTGTCAGAAACCTTGGTGCCACAAAGAGAAAAGCCTGAAATGTTGGCAGTTCCTTCTTATAACCAAACTTTTCAAACGTGCCCAAAACTATTATGGGAACCAACTAGGCCTTTCTCCTTTGTCATAGCCTGTAACCATTTCCTCTAGTTTTGTTAGATGATGAGAGAGTAGGGTGGAGTGGGGGTGGGGTGGAATGGTAATGGTGGAGGAGACAAGCTATTTGTCGCTATTTTGTTTGTAACTCATATAGACGTTAATCTCAAACATCAGAAGTGGGGATCAATTTCAGACTTTTCCTTGCTGCATTTCTGGACGGTTTCATTCAATGCTCCAAGTCTTAACATTGGGTTACCAGGGAAATCACTGAAGGGCATCACAATTCACATTTAAAGTTGTTGCTTTTGATTGGAAAGAATGTGCTATTAAGCAAAACAATTCATGAATGACGTAAAGACCAGGGCAGTGAGGCCTAGACAAGAGCTAAAAGCAATTGATTTACTCCTGATAAAGAAAAAAGCAAAAATGTTAATGGTTAGACCGGAATTAAGCTGAGCAAGAAGAGGTAGGAGACGACAGATTTTAAAGCTATAACTTTGCATATCCATTATGTTGTTTTTATCTTTTAACTTGCCTGTTATAGATTATTTGCAGACATTTGCTAGCGTAATTTTAGGAGACTGATATCCAATAACAACTTCCACTAAGATAATAGCACCTTTGACATAGTAAAACTTCCTCAGGAATAAAATATGACAATTAGACACCTAAGTCGACATTAAGACAGATCATCAAAAGTTTGGTCAGAGATA